TCTTTCCAGTTGATCAGTAGTTCTGTTTTTGATGATCCTGGTCAGTATTACTTCTCACATTTTTTTTTAGTGAAGTATTAAAAATACAAAAACAGAAATGTATCTGTTTCATTCGCAGAAAATGGTTCAGAAGGGAAACGCAGCAATCCAGCATACTTAGAAAATTGGCTTACAAACATCACCCCAATAATAGCAGGGGAATCAACTTTTAGTGTTACATTTGACTGGGATCGCAACGAGTTTGGAGTTCCAGGAGCATTCATCATCAAGAATTTTCATCTTAATGAGTTCTTCCTCAAGTCACTCACACTTGAACATGTTCCTAATCATGGAAAAATCCATTTTGTCTGCAATTCTTGGGTTTATCCTGCTTTTAGATACAAGTCTGACCGCATTTTCTTTGCAAATCAGGTACATTTAATTCATTCATAAAGAATGTATGTGTCTAAACACATATTTGCATTGTCATGTTTATGGTCTGTTCTTCAGGCTTATCTCCCAAGTGAAACACCAGAACCGTTGCGGAAGTACAGAGAAAACGAACTAGTGACCTTAAGAGGAGATGGGACTGGAAAGCTAGAGGAATGGGACAGGGTTTATGATTATGCTTACTATAATGACTTAGGTGATCCAGATAAAGGCGAAGAGTATGCTAGGCCTGTCCTTGGAGGGTCCTCTGAATACCCGTATCCTCGTAGAGGCAGGACAGGCCGCGAACCAACAAAAACAGGTGAAGACATTCACAAAACTTTTTCAATATCTGCATTTTCATGTATTTGATTTTCTTGAAGAGCAAATTGTCTTGCAATTGTTTTCAGATCCTAATTGCGAGAGCAGGATTCCATTGTTTATGAGCTTAGACGTGTATGTGCCAAGGGACGAGCGATTTGGTCATCTGGAGATGTCAGACTTCTTGACATTTTACTTAAAATCCATTGTGCAGTCACTTCTCCCTGCATTTAAGGCTTTGTTCGATTACACACCTAATGAGTTTGATAGCTTTGAGGATGTACTCAAACTCTATGAAGGAGGAATCAAGTTTCCTCAAGGCCCTTTGTTGAAAGACATTAATGATAGTATTCCTTTGGAGATTCTAAAAGACATCTTTCATTCTGATGGTGAAGGCCTATTCAAGTTCCCAACTCCTCAAGTTATTCAAGGTATTTATCTTAATTTCTGCATGATCAAAAGTATTATTTTTTATGACCTCACCTTTGGTAATCTAAATATTGGTGTATTTAGAGGATAAAACTGCATGGAGGACGGATGAAGAATTTGGGAGAGAAATGTTGGCGGGAATCAATCCCGTCTTAATCACTAGACTCCAAGTAGGCTTTAATTCATCTAATTGCTACTCTTTGAGGATTTCAAGAACTTGCTTAAGTTTACTTCTAATATTGTGATTATCTCTTACACATTTTGAAGATGCTGCCTTACCTAATATCTGTAGGAATTTCCTCCGAAAAGCAATCTGGATCCTAACATATATGGCAACCAAAACAGTACGATTACCAGAGAGCAGATAGAGGATAAGTTGGATGGACTAACAGTTGATGAGGTAATTAATAATTTTAGCATGATACTAGCTAAATTGCTCATTCAACTTAAGTGAGAAGATTGTAGTGACAAATGTTAGTTGTTGACAAAGAGTTGGCAATATTTAACAGGCAATCAAGGCTAACATGCTATTCATATTGAACCACCATGACATTGTTATGCCATACTTGAGGAGAATTAACACGACAACAAACACAGAAACTTATGCCTCAAGAACTTTGCTTTTCTTGCAAGATAATGGAACTTTGAAGCCACTGGCAATTGAACTAAGTTTGCCACATCCAGATGGAGATCAATTTGGTACTGTTAGCAAAGTGTATACACCATCTGATCAAGGTGTTGAAGGTTCTATCTGGCAGTTGGCCAAAGCCTATGCAGTAGTGAATGACTCGGGCATTCATGAGCTCATCAGTCACTGGTAAAACCTGTCAAAAACCTTTATATGAAACACAACTTACCCATAACCAAATTCAATATATGATTTGTGTAAAAGTAATTGGATACATTTATTATTACCTTCTCAGGTTGAATACACATGCGGTGATTGAGCCATTTGTGATTGCAACAAATAGGCAACTAAGTGTGCTTCACCCTATTCATAAGCTTCTCCTTCCTCATTTTCGTGACACAATGAACATAAATGCTTTAGGAAGACATCAGTTGATCAATAGTGCCGGAACTGTTGAGTTGACTTTTTTTACTGCTAAATATTCCATGGAAATGTCAGCAGTAGTTTACAAAGACTGGATTTTCCCTGAACAAGCACTTCCTGCTGATCTCATCCAAAGGTAAGTGAAAAGACACAAAGCACTTATTAACTTTATACTCAATCATCTCTATATAAATTCACTAATACAATATAATTTACTGACTTTCAGGGGAGTGGCCGTTGAGGACTCGAGCTCCCCACATGGCATTCGCTTACTAATTCAAGACTATCCATATGCTGTTGATGGGTTAAAAATCTGGTCAGCAATCAAAAGTTGGGTGACAGAATACTGCAACTTCTATTACAAATCAGATGACACGGTACAGAAAGACAGTGAACTCCAGGCATGGTGGAAGGACTCCGCGAAGAAGGACATGGTGACAAGAAAGATGAGCCTTGGTGGCCTAAAATGCAAACTCGACAAGAGCTCATAGAATCTTGCACCATCACAATATGGACAGCTTCAGCACTTCATGCAGCAGTCAATTTTGGGCAATACCCTTATGCTGGTTACCTCCTTAATCGCCCTAGTTTAAGCCGAATGTTCATGCCAGAACCAGGAAGTCCTGAATATGAAGAGCTCAAGACAAATCCAGATAAGGTATTCCTCAAAACAACTGTTCCTCCGCTGCAGACACTGCTTGAAATTTCCATCTTAAAGGTCTTGTCAAGGCATAGTTCGGATACACTTTACCTCGGACAGAGGGACTCACCTGAATGGACAAAGGATCAAGAACCACTTTTAGCTTTTGAGAGGTTTGGAAAGAAGCTGAGTGATATCGGGAATCAGATTTTACAGATGAATAGTGATCATAAAAAATGGAAGAACAGGTCAGGGCCTGTTAAAGTTCCATATACTTCCCTCTTCCCCACAAGTGAAGAGGGGCTCACTGGTAAAGGAATTCCTAACAGTGTGTCTATATAGAACTTATTATTGTTTGTTGATGTTGTTTCTTAGTATTCTGTTATTAACACCAAATAAAATCTCTTTTTTTAAAAAGAAAGTTCCAATTACAATAAAGGGTGTAATAATGTTGTAAGTTCTTTCTGGTTCTGTAACAACTTGTTTGGATGGTTATTACCATTTGTATTGTATTGATTTTTTGAAATTGGAATTTGTTTCTAGCGTGTGTTGTTAGAATAGATTGGGTATATCTTAAAGGAGTTCGAATCTCAATTTTGGAATGATTTGGTGGAGATTTAAAGGTCCTTTGGATTTAAATTTGAGCCAAGCTTTCAAGTATACCTCTATGTAGATGAGATACATGTATCACGGAGAAATTTTTCAACACGATTTCAACTAAAATATTTCACTCTCCAAACTACCTTCTTTCTTTCCCATACTTTGTATATTACCTCGCTTGTGTGTTTTCAATGAATTTTAACCATATCCATTGAAGAAAAAAAAAAAAAAAATTCTTAGTTTTTTTTGAATGTGGCATATAATGTATGTCATTGATCGTTAAGAAAATGGATTTTGAGCTTAACTCAACCACAAAAATAAGTTCTAGTGAGGAGAACTGTTCAAGACAATATAAAGAGACGACTCATCCCTTAAAGTTTAAACTACCGACTTGAGACCCTTCACATATATATAGTTGCATTAGGGGTGGGCATAAATAACGGAAGATCGAAAAACCGAATCGAACCGAACTAATTCGGTTCTTTGGTTTTTCGGTTCGGTGTCGGTGTTATTTTTTTGGAAGTTTGGTTCTTCGGTTCGGTGTTCGGTGTAAGGGTCTCAAAACTTTGGTGCACCGAAAAACCGAACTTTTATTTATAAAAAATTAAAAATTAAAATATTTTATATATACACACACACACACATATATATATATATATATATATATGGGCATTCTCTTAACTAAAAATTAAAAATTCAATCAACAATTAAATCATTCATGAACAAATCAAAGTAACATGACCAAATGTACAATTCAATAGTTACCTTGAAATATATATTAATTTCCAAGAGAAACTCAAACATATTTCTATCAATGTACATTATGTAAAGGAACCATCTTCATACTTGTTTTCTCGATAAATTTTTGGAGGCACAATAATGTTTTTGATAAAGACAAATATAGTCTTTTAGTTAGCACAATAAGTGTTCCACGGTGATACGCATCATTCCTTAACATAGTTTTAAATTTCTAAGTATCTTATACTTTATCCTTAATTTATTTTTCATTCACACCAAAAAACCGATTTAAAAACACCGAACTAAATCGAACCGAACCGAATTAGTTTGGTTTAATATACGGTGCACATTTTTCTAAAACCGAACCGAATAACCGAACTCCCACCCCTAAGTTGCATCATGTTTTAAATTTTCTTTCAATGTAATCATATCTATCCAATAGATTGGTATGTCCAGGTTCAACAGATTGCAACTTCAGTAACTTCCTAGTGTAGTGAGCATATAAATAAGCAAAAAGAAGATGAAAAATAAAACCAACTACAACTTTATTTGGAACAAAGAGTTTATTTGGTTGGGAATAACAAGAAACAAGTACAACAAACGTTATATTTAAAACCACAAATACAAACACAAACACAATACAATACAATACTCTTTATTTGGAACAAAGAGTTTATTGGTTGGGAATAACAAGAAACAAGTACAACAAACGTTATATTTAAACCTACAATACAACACAACACAATACAATACAATACAATACAATACGCTTTATTGGAACAAAGAGTTTATTTGGTTGGGAATAACAAGAAACAAGCACAACAAACGGATTCAATAATAAGTTCTATATAGACACACTGTTGGGAATTCCTTTGCCTGTGAGTCCTTCTTGACTTTTGGGGAAGAGCAAAGTATATGGAACTTTAACAGGCCCTGACCTGTTCTTCCAACTCTTATGACTATTCATTATCATAATTCGATTCTCGATATCATTCAGCATCTTTACAAACCTCTCAAAAGCTACAAGTGGTTCTTTATCCTTTGTCCATTCAGGTGAGTCCCTTTGTCCCAAGTAAACCTCATCTGAATCATGCCTTGACAAGACCTCAAAGATGGACATTTCAAGCAGTGTCTGCAACTGAGGAACAAATGTTTTGAGGAATACCTTGTCTGGATTTGTCTTGAGCTCTTCATACTCAGCACTTCCTGGCTCTGGCATCAAATTCCAGCTTAAACTAGGGCGATTAGGGAGAAAACCAGCGTAAGAGTATAAGCCAAAATTGACTGCTGCATGAAGTGCTGAAGCTATCCATATAATGATGGTGCAACAATCTATGAGCTCTTGTCGAGTTTGCATTTTAGGCCACCAAGCCTCATCTTTCTTGTCGCCATGTCCTTCTTCACGGAGCTCCTTCCACCAAGCTTGGAGTTCAGTGTCTTTCTGTACTGTCTCATCAGATTTGTAATAGAACTTGCAATATTCTGTTACCCAACTGTTGATTGCTGCCCAAATTTCCAAGCCATCAATAGCATATGGATAGTCCAGAATCAGTAAACGAATGCCATGTGGGGAGCTCGAGTCCTCAACCGCCACTCCTCTGTAATTGAACAACATTATGGTCAGGTTAGCAATACGACAAAACATAAATTTATGTTCTGTATTATTTAGTACAGAGTATGAGATTTCTGTGGCTCTTCGTTTACCTTTTGATGAGATCAGCAGGAAGTGCTTGTTCATTGAAAACCCAATCTTTGTAAGCTGCTGCTGACATTTCCATGGAATATTTGGCAGGAAAAAGATACGTCTCAACAAAACCACCACAAGTGGCCAAGGTCTCTCTTGCTAAAGCATTTATGTTCATTGTGTTACGGAAATGAGGATAAAGAAGTTTATGAATAGGATGAAGCACACTTAGTTGCCTATTTGTTGCAATCACAAATGGTTCGATCACCGCGTGTGTATTCAACCTGGAAAGGTAACAACAAATGTCTCCAATTACTAAATAATACATTGAATTTGTTTATGGGTAAGTTGTGTTTCATATAAATCTTTCTGACAATTTTTACCAGTGGCTAATGAGCTGATGAATGCCCATGTCATTCACTGCTACATAGGCTTTGGCCAACTGCCAGATAGAACCTTCAACACCTTGGTCAGCTGGTGTATATACTTTGCTAACAGTACCAAATTGATCTCCGTCTGGATGTGGCAAGCTTAGTTCAATAGCTAGTGGCTTCAAAGTTCTATTATCTTGTAGGAAGAGCAGAGTTCTTGAGGCATAGGCTTTTGTGTTTGCTGACATGTTAATTTTCCTCAATAATGGCATCACGATGTCATGGTGGTTCAATATGAATAACCTGTTTGTCTTGATTGCCTGTTAAGAGTATCAGTTTTTTGTCAGAAAACTTGATCAAAGAATCTAGCTAGTATCGAAACAGATGTAATATACCTCATCCACTGTTAATCCATCCAACTTATCCTTCACATGTTCTGTGGTAATTGTACTGTTTTGGTTTCCATATATGGTTGGATCCAACTTGCTCTTTGGAGGGAATTCCTGCAGACATTAGATAAGCCAATATCTTCAAAATGTGTAAGGAGATATCATGAAAATAGAAGTGAACTTAAGCAAGATCTTGATATCTTCAAAGAGTAGAAATTTAGATGAATTAAAGCTTACTTGGAGTCTACTGATTACGACTGGATTGATTCCCGCCAACATTTCTCTCCCAAATTCTTCATCCGTCCTCCATGCAGTTTTATCATCTAAATACGAGAAAATGATCAAAATGGTCCTTGATGTATTGGAGTTGCTTTATTTTGGTCCTCAATATATTCTAGGTGATTGAAATAGTCCTTCATGTATGACAAAATGTGTTCAATTTAGTCTTTTACCCTAAACTTAACATTTTACCCCCAAAAACTGTTAAATATAACGATGGTCATGTATGACAAAATATGTTCAATTTAGTCTTTTACCCTAAACTTAACATTTTACCCCCAAAAACTGTTAAATATAACGATGGTCATGTATGACAAAATATGTTCAATTTAGTCTTTTACCCTAAACTTAACATTTTACCCCCAAAAACTGTTAAATATAACGATGGTCATGTATGACAAAATATGTTCAATTTAGTCTTTTACCCTAAACTTAACATTTTACCCCCAAAAACTGTTAAATATAACGATGGTCATGTATGACAAAATATGTTCAATTTAGTCTTTTACCCTAAACTTAACATTTTATCCCCAAAAACTGCTAAATATAGCGGTGGTCCCCACCGTTATATTTAACAGTTTTGGGGGTAAAATGTTAAGTTTAGGGTAAAAGACTAAATTGAACACATTTTGTCATACATGAAGGACTATTTCAATCACCTAGAATATATTGAGGACCAAAATAAAGCAACACCAATACATCAAGGACCATTTTGATCATTTTCTCTCTAAATACCAACATATTTAGGTTACAAAAGGTGAAGGCGTGAGAAATAATACTTGTGAAAATGCTTTTGATCATGTAGGAATATAAATAAATACCTTGAATAACTCGAGGAATTGGGTACTTAAGTAGGCCTTGACCATCAGTTTGAAGGATGTCTTTTAGTATCTCCGAGGGAATGCTATCAGTAATGGTTTTCAACAAAGGGCCTTCAGGCAACTTGATTCCTCCTTCATAGAGATTAAGTACATCCGCAAAGCTATCAAACTCATTAGGCGTGTTATCGAGCAAAGCCTTAAACGCAGGGAGAAGAGTTTGCAAAATGGATTTTAAGGAAAATGTCAAGAAGTCTGAATTCTTCACATGACCAAATCGCTCGTCCCTTGGCACATATATGTCTAAGGTCATAAGCAATGGGTTCCTGCTCTCACAATTAGGATCTGCAGAGAACTAAAGAGTTCTAAAAAATCAAATATGAAAATGTAGATAGTAAAACTTGAGATTATTATACTTGTTGAGTTACAAAAATAAAAAGTTTTGCGAATGTCTTAACCTGTTCTCGTTGGTTCCCGGCCTGTCCTGCCTCTACGAGGATACGGGTACTCAGAGGACCCTCCAAGGATAGGCCTAGCATACTCTTCGCCCTTATCTGGATCACCTAAGTCGTTGTAACAAGCATAGTCATAAACCCTGTCCCATTCTTCAAGCTTTCCAGTTCCATCTCCTCTCAAAACCACTAGTTCATTTTCTCTGTAATTTCGCAATGGTTCTGGTGTTTCACTTGGGAGATAAGCCTGAAGAACATACCATAATTACGACAATGCAAATACGTGTTTAGACACATACATTCTTTATGAATGAATTAAATGTACCTGATTTGCAAAGAAAATGCGGTCAGACTTGTATCTAAAAGAAGGATAAACCCAAGAATTGCAGACAAAATGGATGTTTCCATGATTAGGAACATCTTCGAGTGTGAGTGACTTGAGGAAGAACTCATTAAGATGAAGATTCTTGATGATGAATGCTCCTGGAACTCCAAACTCTTTGTGATCCCAATCAAAAGTGACACTAAAAGTTGATTCCCCTGCTATTATTGGGGTGATGTGTGTAAGCCAACTCTCTAAGTATGCTGGTTTGCTGCGTTTCCCTTCCAAACCATCTGATGTGTGTAAGCCAACACTTAATTAGTTTGATTTGATTTCAATACGTAAAAAGGCAAACTTAATTAATTTTGATTTTTTTTTGTTAAAAGAATTAGAAACTTTTACTAACCAGCATTAACAGAACCACTTATCAATTGGATAGAGACTTTTTGGCCAAGTAAATCAGCAACCCCATCAACAACTGAAGCACTTATATCAGTGAAGTCTAAAACATTTTTTTTCATCAAAATCACTCTTCCTTTCACCTTTTCCCCATCATTGTTTCCAACGATGGCATCCACTATTCCGCCCAAAGACATGATTAACTATTTAAACAAATGTATTATAATTTTTTTGATCTATCAACAAAAGAAAAGAGAGATTTTGGTTGTGAAGTTTTCGAGTTTAGATATCTCATATTTATAACAAAAAATTACTAGTTTAAAAGATTCTTGTCATAATTGATTTTTAAAAAAATTTAAACTTTCACTATATTTGGTATGCATAGTGTATAAATTTGTTTGATTAGTTAATTCAATGATGATGGCATTGAATAAAAACAGAGTAAATATCCCAAAAGGTTATTCAAATATGTGAAATTATTTAAGAAAGTCACTCAAACTTGGTTTTGTATTAATAAAAAAGTCACTCAACGGATTTTCTTTTATAAAGTCATTCAAGTTAAACTATTTTTCTAGAAAATCATTATAACCAAAAGATATAAGAGATAATTGCATAAACCACCCTTCAAGTTTAATACTAATTACTTTCATTTTAGTTTATAATATTATACTTACCTCTCTTATATTTTTATTAATAATTATTTTCTTAACCTAATTAATATGAATATAAAAATAGGGATTTGGCTCTCCCCCCCTGCCCCTCCATTACTCTTTTCCTCTAGTCAAATACATATATTAATGAGAGACATATGTCTTATTTAAATTTTAAACGTCAAGACTATATCATATTAACCAATATCATAATCATAATTAAGTGAATAAGTTTTTAACTCTACAAATAATTTAATCACTTTCTGTGCTCATAAATTTATTTTTAAAATATTATGTGGATAAATAAAAAATAAATAAAAGGAAGAATTATTATTGTTGATAGGATCGTTATAATAAGAAAAGAAAATAGAAAATGCATTAATCACAAACGTGAAATTATCTAAAAAATATTATTTTTTAATCTTTTTAAAAAAATAAAAGAAAACATTAATTTAAAGGGAAAATATTTTGTAAGACTACTGTTTATAGGCTAATTAAAAACGTTGTTAAGTTCCTGTTCGACAATTTTAATATTTTAATATAAAAATATTTAGAATAAAATTAATGATATTAATATATCCCAATTAATTAAGTTAAGACAATTATTATTTAAAAATAAATAAATAAGAGAGATAAACATAATATTATAAACTACAGTGGAAGTAAATATTAAAAAACTAGACTTGAAGGGTGATTTGTGCAATTATCTCTTTTCTCTTTTGGGTACAATGAATTTGTAGAAAAATTAGTTTAACTTGAGTGACTTTATAAAATAAATTCATAAATTAAATGACTTTATTAATACAAACCTAAGTTGAGTGACTTTCTCAAATAATTTTACATACTTAAGTGACATTTTAAGATATTTACTCAATAAAAACACAACAACAACAAAAAAAAACAAATCATCCAAAAGAAGGAAGTTTAGCTCTTAAATTTTTTACCATGTTTGTGAATTTTCAAGTCCATTAAGGTATGTGTCAATTATTTATTTGATTATGAAATGTCACTCTTCATAGTGTACAATTCAATTTAAAACTCTTTTACATTTAAATTATGATATAGAGAGAGGATGATTTTCTTTATTTTATTTCTTTGAAGTTTATCTATTATTATACTTCTCTTAGATGACATTTTGAAATTAGGATAGGGTATTAATTATGTAATAGTACTCCATATCAGGATTTATGTTTCAACTTATATAAATTTATATTTTCTAGAAAGGTGCGCTTTTCCCTACTGAAAATGTTGATTTACTTGATATTATTATTAGTAGTCTAGTAGACGCATAATTTTCCCTTTTGAGATTTTATTTTACTTGTAAAGTGAAAAAGTTCTATTAAAAATGTTATTTTTGTTTATTTTGCTAATAAAATGTATGTGATTACTTCGAAGATTTTCTAGTTCATTAAGGAACTCTTGAATAAAATAAAAGTAAAAGTTTCTATTATTGCTTATTAGATTAAGAATTTTTGGCAATTTATAGTGTCCGATTCAATATACAATTTTCTGACAATTAAATTATGATGGGAATATCTATATGAAGAAAGTGTAATTTTATTTTATTTTTAAATGACTCTTGTTTATCTATTTTTATATTCATTTGATGAATTTTTTATTTTAATTTTTATAACGATGATATTCGAATCAATTTGTACACATTTTGTTTTTTAATTTAATTTTATCATGTTCGCGAGATTAATAAGCACAACATAGATAACATTTTAAATTAAGATAGCAACTAGAGTATTGTTATAAGTATTGATTATATAACAATAGTCTGTTAAATTTTTTGTTTAAACTTATATAAAAATTTATATATGATTTCCCAATTAAAAATTGTTGGTTTTATTTGTAAGAATCACCAATTGAAATTTTATTTTAACATTGTATAAAAATTTATATATGATTCCCCAATTAAAAATTGTTGGTTTTATTTGTATGATTCACCAATTGAAATTTTATTTTAAAATTGTATAAAAATTTATATATGATTCCCCAATAAAATATTGTTGGTTTTACTTGTATGATTCACCAATTGAAATTTTATTTTTATTTCTATGGTGAGATTTTTCTATTAAAAATGTTTTTCTTGTTTATTTTTCGGCTTAAGTCATTTACGGTCTCTTAATATTGTCGTATAATTCAATTTGACACTTCAACTAGAATAAATACCTATTAGACTCTAATATTAACGAATATGTATCTATCAAACACAAAATGACAACCAACATAAAAAAAATAATATTGTGTGTATAACTCACATGCAATATCTTTAAAAAGTTGTGAATCAAATTATGAAAAATTACCTAACTACATATTCTTTCTTTTTTACCATATTTTCTATTATTCCCTATCATTCCAAAAAAATGTAAAAATTCTTCTTTTTCACAATTTCTCTCACTTTTCCGGATACATCACCGTAAACTATCACTCCAAGATTTTTTTTCCTTTTTTCACGTCTAAAATCATTCCATGGTATCACCAATTATCTCCATCACCCTATTTTTTAATTTCAAATCTTTTCTCTTTCCGTTTGATTGCAAGTTATGAAGAGGTAGTTCTTCTTCATCTTCTTCTTCATCCATTTTTTTCTTTCCACTTCATCAAGTATCAATTTTTTTAGCGTTTTCATCTACGAATTTAGTCGAAGAAGGATGCATCTTCAACTTTAAAATCAATTGTGGAAAAAACGCCCCCAAAAAAGGGGGAAAGTCGAGTTGCTGGTAGCTTTGGTAAAGGATTTGGGTCGAGATCCATGGGAGACGCTATTGTTGAAAGTGGGAAAAAAGCTACGGGAATTGATACAGAGCAAAAGAGAAAGTGTAGAAGGATTTCTTCATCATTTTTTTGTTTTCAATAGATCAGATTGTTAAATTTTTTATTTATTTTTTGTTGTTCATCTTTTTCTAATACATATGGGTTCAGTTTTTAATATATCTAGTTGTTTTTGTTTTTGAAATTAATGTATAATGCATTCGTTTCAACATTATGATACATTACAAATTTATCAGGAGTTGTTGGTGGCTCTGATAAGGGCTTTGGGTCGAGATCCATGGAGTGACGTCATTATTGAAAGTGAAAAAAGCTACAAGAGTTGATACAGAGCAAAGGAGAAAGTGTGGAAGGATTTCTTCATCATTTTTTTTCTTTTAGCAGATTAAATTGTTGATTTTTTTTGTTGCGTTCAACAGATCTTTTAATATATCTAGTTGATTTTGATTCTTAAATTAATGTATAATTCGTTTGTTTCACCTTTATGATACATTACAATTTTATCATGTACAATATATCGTTTTCAAATATTTGTTTTGATACATAACCCTAATTTACTGAAACACAAATTAGTATGTATCATGGTTCATAGTTATGTATTGGATACACAACAATTACAAATTTTGTTATCTTTTACTACCAATACATACACCTAGCCTTATTCAACTAGTAGAATGATATGTATATGTAGACACTATCAAATATTATTGTTGATACATAAAAACTAATGTTTTATAATAAAATAAGTTTGTATCATATTCATAATTATGTATATGACACATAACTTTGTTATGTATATAACATAGTTATGTATCAAATGTTGTGATATATCACATGTTGTTAAGTATACGTAACATTGTTTTATAAATAAATCAGTGTATATCATATTTATAGTTTTATTTTTTGTATATGATACATAACTATATAAAATTATCGACTTTTTTTTGAATCTGTTACGATTTGGGAGAGATTTGAGAGAAGAAATTTAAAATTTGAATTGTTTGGAGTTGTTATTTGGAAGAGACTGACATCAATATGATTTGCATGATTTGGGGAATTGACATTTAGTTTTATATTTAATTTCTTTTTTTATCTCAACAAACTATTTGTATAATGTATCAAATGTGATGTAATGGGATGTATCCGAATGGCAGACATTTTAGGAAATTTTTATAAATTGAAAAAGAGTAGAAATGTAATGTAATTTTTTCTTACACTATGAGATTCCTAAAAAATTTACATAAAATTATGACACATGGCCATGGGCCTAATCTAACTATAAAAATGAATTTTTAATTTTAAAAGACGAAAAATAATTTTCAACCCTATTTAATCCAACACCTCTCCAAATCCACCTACTGAAACTTTTGCCCGTATTCTCCCCTAGGCACTTGTTGTTTTCGACTCTTCCGGCTAATCACTTTTCTTTTTCTTGTTATTATTCCTACCCATTATAAATATTTAGGAGCCAGTTTGAATTGACTTTAAAAAGGTAATTTTTAAGTTAAAAATAAAAAGTCAAACTGAAATGATTTTTAAGTCAAAAAAATAAAAAGTAGGGGGAGATCTACTTTTGATTTCTGACTTATTTTAAGTCATTTTTTACCTTGTCAAACACTTCGTAACTTATTTTAAATCATTTTTGACTTATTTTAAGTTATTTTTTATATTTGCCAAACACTTTCAGAAGTAAAAAACTAACTTAAAAGTAGGTTTGACCAACTTTTAAGTCAATCCAAACGGGCTCTAAGTCTATCAATGAAGAATGCATA